ATATCCATAAAATTCTCCCAGGACTCAAACTATTTTTTCAAAATGGCACTAATACTCATTATTAATTTGTTTATCTTCAGTCTTTTTTTAAAATGCCACCCATTTTTTGAATTGTAGCTTTTCCTCTTTCTTAGGCAAGGAGAAGTAATTTTCAACAGCTAAATGTGTGCATATTAATAGCTTAATTACACAGAACTTCAACCAACACCTTTCAAAATTTCCTCCCTCCCACTCTGAAAAATGAGCCTAAATGTCTACCTCAGGAGATGGTAAGACTTCCTCAAGATCAGCACCACCAGATAAAATCTGACCCAGTTTTGTCTACTTTCATTGTTGTACATACATCAGCAAATTGGCGGATCGTTGTAGTTCCCTTATGATTCCCAATATTTTCCTACTGCTAACACAGTTCAAACCAGAGTATTTTGAAAATTAGACAAATACAGATGTGACACAGTTTGAATGTTAAGTCTCTACCGTAATAGCAAAACTATTTATATAAAGTTTCAATTGCCATTTCTTACCAAAGGGACAATTTAGAGCAATACTTATTTGGCCTTTATTTTTCAAAACAAAAAGCCTTCTCCTACAGTTGCCTCAGAACAAATATTTGCAAAAATCACTGAAGTTTTATGTTTACTGACAGCTGCCTGTGACTTCTCAAGTTTTGAAGGCAATAGCGTCTAACCGATGTGCAATAACCTCGATTTTGTACATAGGAATGTCCCTCCAAAATGTGGTTTTACCCTCTGTGTATGCAGGTGGAGTGAACCCACTCACACGAAGCTGGCTGCTCCACAGCGAACTGTGTCGTTGCTGTAGCGGAGCATGTGTGTCTGTGTACATACTCCAGAAGAATACCGAGTGCAGCCACAAACTGCTGGAAACTGCACAGCCCAATCCCACTTTCCCAGGATGGAAAAGATCCATTAGTTTAGACTGTGTTCTATGTATTGAAGAGTGGGGGGCGGGGGGGGAAACAGGTCCAATATTTAAAAAAGAAATTGCAAAAGGCACATTAGAAAACTGTCATTACACAGTTCACTACAAGGTATCCCTTCCACCTCAGACTAAACAATGATAGATCTTTGTCAGAAACTTCGCACGAAACAGTCCAAAGCATCATTTGTCATTGCCCTTCCCAGAACCTCACTTGCACACTCTAAGAATCACTTTTCAGCATTACAAAAACCCCCTTTCATTATCCCTACTTTAAAAATACAAATGCTGTATCTGTGGTTTAATATAAAAATTAATCGGAGTTGAAGCATGTGCATGGTATCTGTAATTCTGATTTGTTTGTAATCTGTTGAATTAGGCAAATGTATTAGAAATGTAATTCCAGCTATTACAACGCTTTACATTTTACTGAGAAACTGGGATGACTGTATTCTACAGGCAGCCACTTGAGTCCTGCTGCTGCTGTTTTTAAATTATTTCCATCATATCTTCTAATTTAGTAACCTCAAAGTGTTGTTTTTTTTTTAAATAGGTATCTTTTGTTCACTCTTCTACAGTGCAATTATTCAAGTAATATATCATCACCAGCTGTTTGTTAACACTTGCTTTCAAAATTATTAAAAAATATATTTTTAGCATTTCACTTCCAACAAATAATTTCAACCGCTTTTGAGTGTAAATCTGTAGTTGATGACATTGTTAATTATCTTCAGATTTCCAACAGTTTCTCATCATCATGACACTGCCCTGTTTGAATGCAGTTGTGTTATGCTGTAGCCCAAGCTGGCTATAAAATTATTTGTTCTGACCCTAAAACTTCGGTGGTAACGATAGCACAAAAGTTAGGGTGAGACCAGGCAACTTAAAATCTGGCCTAATCTTTATCTTCCATTCTGCTCCCCAAATTGCCAGGCTTCTCTCTGCTACTGTGAATGTCCCTTCACTCCATGGATTACGTTTACGGGACATTCATTTTTAAATGCTTCACTTAATAAAATCTATTTAGAGGTGATATTAAACACTATTTCATTAAATAAATAATAAGCTTCATTTGCTTAATCTTGTGTTAACAACAGCTTCCACCTTTGAAGATCAACAGCCAAATTAGTGAAAAGGCTACATGCATCAAATAATACTGCTTAAACAGTTTGCTTTCTAAAAACGACAAATATTCTTGCACTGTGCAAACTATTTTTGGCCTGTTGCAAAATACGCCCAGGAACTGTAGCAATATCTTGATTACAGCTGTGAACAGAAACGAAGAACACTGACTTGACAAGAAGTGTTTTAATTCACGAGATTTGGAGCGCTCATTATATCTGGCCTATAAAATTGCTTTCCGTATAGCAATCGTTAGGCTTCCTAATATAACGTGTAAATTATTTACATTACACTAATGTGCACTAGATAGCCCTGTACTCCTGTATCCTGCCTCCACCTTGTTCCCATTTCTCAAATGAAAGTGCAAAACCAACAGCACTACTTTAGCTTGTTAATTGTTAACTATGAAGGGTTTCACTCTATTAATTAAAATATGTTTTAATAAAAGGAAACATAGCACATTTTGATAACAGCCTTCTAAGGCTGAAAAGTATTTACATTGTTGCATTTTAGGGCTGCTGTGAAAGCCGATTTTGTGCTATTCAGGGACCACAATAATAACGCTTTAAAATTCCTCACTGGGATGCAATGTAGTCCTTTTGATGGAAAGACTGTCTTTCTCATTCGGCAGAAATAAATCCATTCATTTGATCATGTAGTCATTGAGGGCAATACAAAACAAACCAAGTGTGAGAAATTCTATGTGATGAAGTAAACAAAACAAAACCCCCCAAAAAAGGGGGAAAAAAAAAAACATTTCCATGACAAAAAGATTCTTTGTCCTTAATCTACCCACCATATGCAAGCGTTTCTTTTTAGCATATCTCTTGTTCTAATCTCGGGTGACATGGCTACATAGATAAGATTCACAAAACAAAACAAAAACCTAGTTTAACAATTTTTTTCAATTTATTAACTCGCCAGGAGTGTCATAATGAAGTAGTGGGGTTTTATTTTTCTGTATCGAAATGGATTCGGAGCACGCAAAAGTTTATAACGCCAGTGATAAATTCTTAGACCTAGAACCCACCCCAACAGAGACTGGCCTCAACAAATCTTGTTTACCTAATAAAACACTAATTCCCGTCCGCCTGCCTGCATTAATTTCTTTACACGACCACCGCTTCCCAAGGAAAAAAACCGAATTTTGAAAATGCACTGCTTTGCTCCTCCGCTGTGACAGAAGGAAGCGTTTCTCTGTGTGGCTGCTATTGTCGCCAGCCAAGGGGGTTTTCCTGGAGCGGTGGCATTAGCCCCCTTAGCAGCCCTGGACGGTGTGGGACTCCCTCCCTGGCTCCCCAAATACCCTGGGAAGGAGCAGGAGGCTTTACGATTTGCCAGTCTGACAGATGTTTTAACCTGATGAAGTGGAATCACGCTGCCTTAAGCTTCAGGGCTGTAAAGTTCAGCTACAATAGTCAAAATCCTCCTCGGGCTTCAACTTTGCTGCCTCTCTCTCCCCACAGATGCAACTTAAAAGTCATTATAGTTTTGAGGCAGGAGAATGACTTTTTTTCTTTTCCAAGGGAGGGAGAGGGGGGATAAGCACCCGAGCAAGGGGCCTACACAGAAAGCAGAAAACATCGGGGCTCCCACTTGGTTACGCGAGAAACTAAGCAGGCGGTGGGCTCTGTGCAAAGAGGAAAAGAAAAACTTTCAAGTGGAAGCTCTCAACTTAGCCCAGGAAAAGTGAGCATGGGCTGTGGCATGCCTTCGCACGCTGCAATGCCAAGGACTACTAAGGAAAATAAACCAAACCAAAACAAAAAGAAGGAAGACAAAAACCCCCGCAGCCTTCTTCTCGACAAAAAATTACAGCGAAGTGGAAATAAGGAGCCACCACGGCCCAAATCTTTCCACCTTTGGACACTTGTTCGCTACCAGCCTGGGCAACCCAGCTGCATAAAAGCAAGTGTGCCTGTGCCTGCGTGTGGGGAGGGAGCGAAGAATGGCGGATGGGCGAGAAAATAACCTTCCCCACCGCCTGCAGCCGGCGCGACAGGGGCTGGTGGCGGTGGTGGCACTCCGTGTCACCTACTACTGATCGTAATTACAGTCGCAGCAAAGCCAGGAGGCCAAGGGGGGAAGGCAGGGCAAGG